ACCTAAAATTCCTATGATTTTGACCAAACGAACGGGAAAAGTTTCTTTCCAGTTTGATGTGTTTTATTGATTTTGTTCGAATTAATGTAAATAAAATAACGACCTATATCTCCAGAATGTATTCTTACTTGCTCTGTATTTTGCTATAACAGCTTCTTCAGGAGCTATCGATAACCCACAAGTTCATAATTCAATTGAACTTAAATTGGAACACCGTCATCATTTAATGAAAGATTGATACACGTGTCTAAGATATATTATACCCATTTAGAGACTTTGTCAAAATCCAATCATATTAAAATCTTACGAATCCAGTCAACATTTCCATACTAGAGGCCAATCTTCATAATTATTCATAGGATGGAAATATACAAGCATCTTTAAACATCTTTAAAGATACAAGTATAAAGATGTATTTCACATACTTAACGTATCCTCTTTTAAATCCCATGTATTTAATAGCTCACCTGTTGATTTAAACTTATTGTTTATTTATCATTCTTGGTTCTGTTTATTTCAAGAACTGTTTTGGTGTGAACGCCTTTTCTAAGCTGGTGAAGCATGATTTTAATTAATTATACTTGCCATAAGATGTTAGTATTAGGTCTATTATGTTTTTAAGCTTTACATTCTTTATCAAGAATTATAATAGTATAATATTAATAATATACTAACTACACTATATTCGCCTTCGACGAGTTTCACTCAATCCGGGGTTTATTAGGCCACAAGAAACACAGGCATAATACTAATGTCTTATGAAAAATATAATTCATTTTAAGAATGTCTGATATTATTTTAGTATGATCTGAACCTTTTAGATACGTGTATCGATGCTTGATTAACTGATGACGGTGTTCAAGTTTAATTTCAACTGGATTAGCCAACTTATAGGATATCGGGAGTTGCTGACGAAGCTGTAATAGCAAAATAGTGAGCCAATAAAGATACATTCCGGAAATATAGGTCGTTATTCTATTTAGATTAATAGAAATGTCTCGTAATGAATTCCAGTTTCCGTTGAACAAAGCTAAGAGTAATAGACTCTGTTTGTCTTTTATTGTTGAGCACAAAGCTACACAATGAATCACTTGTGCCCTATCCACCGCGGGTATCGAACTCTGATTTTCTGTTTTGTTTTATTTACTCTGCAGAGTAGGAAACAGTTCTTTAAATTCCAACCAGTGTAATCTGATGTAAAAAACATTTGAGCAAGTAATTAGGAAAATTACTTCAACTGGTGAAACTCCTATTATTTCTTTAGACACTAAAATGCCAATAAAGAAACCTGCCATTTTAAAAAAAAACCTTCATTACTGAGATTACTCTTTTTTTTAAGATATCGAAAAAGTTTAGTTAGAGTATTCGTCAGTCTTGTTAAGATATAAAAAACACTTTCCGTAAGAGCATTCCTCCCTCTCTTTAAGATATCAAAACACCTCGAGTTATAGTACTCATCAGACCATTTAAAATATCCAAAAATGTTAAGTCTTTTTTAAAACATCGAAAAACGTTTAGTTAGAGTACTCATCAGCCTTTTTAGAATATCCAAAAACAACCTTGAATTAGAGTGCATATCAGTCTCCTTATGAGTTCCAAAGAAAAAACCCTGAGTTAGAGCAGCCATCAAAAACGTTTAGTTAGAGCAGCCATCAAAAACGTTTAGTTAGAGTACTCATCAGCCTTTTTAGAATATCCAAAAACAACCTTGAATTAGAGTGCATATCAGTCTCCTTATGAGTTCCAAAGAAAAAACCCTGAGTTAGAGCAGCCATCAATATCTTTTAGACGTATAATGACAGTGAGTGAATGTTTTGTACGTGCTATTTATTTAAATATTTGATAACTGAAAAGTTTGTTTCCCTATTATTATAATAATGAAGCACCATTTACAAGTTAGGTGTAATGATGTTTTTATTTAGCTTCCATAGTACACGTCAATTTCACGTATAGCGAAAACAGTTAAAGTTTTCATTAAGCAGGTTTCTAGAAGTAAAATCCAAATTTCCACTAATCTAAAACAGATTGTACACCTGTTATGACGTAATCAGCGCACATACATCCCTGTTGCTTTATAGACGTCACAGGTACATCTTGCTGCATATCGACAGGCAGCTGAACGAGACAAAATAAAAGCACTTATCAAGTTATCCTGACTTTTTAATACTCCAGTGTAGTGATCGTACTCTAGTTGCTGAGAGAATTTTATAAATTCATGTGTTCGACCACTGTACGTAAACTTTTTTATATATAGTCTGATGTTTGTAAACTCTAAAAGAGAAACAAGAAGAGAAATTACAGCAGTTGTTAGAGGAAAAAGAAAAGAAACAGGAAGAACGAGAAAAGAAACAAGAAGAGAGACAACAGCAGTGGCAAGAAAACCTGCAACAGTGGCAGCTCGAACAGCAAAATAACAAGAGATATTACAGCAGTTGTTGGAGGAAAAAGAAAAGAAACAAGAATAGAGACTACAGCAGTGGTTGGAGGAGAAAGAAAATAAACAAGAAGAGAAGTTACAGCAGTTAAACAAGAAGAGAGATAACAGCAGTTGCAAGAAAACCTGCAACAGTGGCAGCTCGAACAACAAAATAAACAAGAAGAGAGATTACAGCAGTTGTTAGAGGAAAAAGAAAGAAACAAGAAGAACGAGAAAATAAACAAGAAAAGAAACAAGAAGAACGACAACAGCAGTGGCAAGAAAACCTGCAACAGTGGCAGCTCGAACAGCAAAATAACAAGAGATATTACAGCAGTTGTTGGAGGAAAAAGAAAAGAAACAAGAATAGAGACTACAGCAGTGGTTGAAGGAGAAAGAAAATAAACAAGAAGAGAGATTACAGCAGTTGTTAGAGGAAAAAGAAAGAAACATGAAGAACGAGAAAAGAAACAAGAAGAAACAATACAGCAGTGGCAAGAAAACCTACAACAATGGCAGCTCGAACAACAAAATAAACAAGAAGAGAGATTACAGCAGTTGTTAGAGGAAAAAGAAAAAAACATGAAGAACGAGA